TTCTGGATAGGAACTAGAGGAACTTTTTTCATCTTCCCATCTGAAACTCTGTACCCATTAAGCAGTTACTCCTACTTCCCTCCTTCCCCAGGCCCTGGCAACCACAGCTATTTTTCAAAAAGCCTTGTAGACTTTTATCTCCACAAGGCTTTTTGAAAAACAGCTATAAGCTTGGGAATCACTGTGTTGTACATCTGAAACCAACATAACATTGTGTGTCCGCTACACTCAAAAAAATTTTTTTTAAAAAGGCTTGTAGACTTTTAGAGCCATTTATCTACATTATTTAGATGAAAATTAGAAGTAAATTGTTGGGGGGGGGTTCATATTACTGTTTTTCCTCAAACATACTGTTTTTAGCCTAGAGATAAAAGTATGTTAAGTAATCCCTGAGGTACTGTGACATAAAATACAAAGCTGAAGAAATATTTAGCAGTTTAAGTTAAGAACTCTTTCTGGTACAGAAACTCCTTCACAGACTTTCATGCAATGCCTTTTGATATACTACATTCTAGGTATGTGTGTGCATGTGTATAAATTTGGTAGTTTCAATCTCATATTTCCTGCTATGATAGATTATGGAGAGTGAGCTATGGAAACACACACAAGGGACAGGTATCCCCATATCAGGATCAGAAGATATTCCCTGGAGGAGCTAGTGATCCAGCCCAGTTTTGAAGGTAAAGGTAAGAAGGGAGAGGGAGTTTGGTTTGTTAAATTAAGAATTTCAAGCAGAGGGCATACATGGCTTGAAGGATGGCACAGATCAGGGCACATATGTGAGAAATTTATAGGTGACCTGGTGTCACTCAGAAGAAATGAAAGTCAAAGAGAAGCAGGATGAGGGTGGCAGGGTGAGCTGAGGCCAGCTGTCACAGAAAGTCTTGGTTTTTTTTCTTGTAGGTGACAGGATGCCCTGTGGAAAGGCAGGTCAAAGCTGTGTTTATTTTTTGTTTTGTAATAACTTTTTTCATTCTTTGCTTCACCGTGCTGAACAGTCACCAAGAATGTATCTAATTCGCCTATCTCCATGCTGTTTTTTAATTATGAAAAATATCAAACAAGAGAGAATTAAAAAACCAACCCTATGCCCATCATCCAGATTCAACAATTACTAGATTTTTTGTCACATTTGCTTCATATATCCCTCTACTTTTTCTGTGGAATTATTCCTTTTATTGTGGTAAACACAAAATTTACCATTTTAACCATTTTTAGGTGTACGGTTCAGTGGCATTAAGTACATTGAGATCACTGTGCAACTGCCACCCCCGTCCATCCAGAACACTTATCTTCCCAAACTGAAACTGTACTCATTAGACAATAACTTTCATTCTCCCCTCTCTCAGCCCCTGGTAACTTTGTGTCTCTATAGATTTATCTATTCTGGATATTTCATATAAACTGAATCATACAATATGTGGCCTTTTGTATCTGGTTTCTTTCAGTTAACATCCTGTTTTCTAGGTTCAACCATATTGTAGCACTTATCAATACCTTTTGTTCTTTTTTAGGGATTGAATAATATCCCATTATATAGATATGACACATTTTGTTTACCCGTTTATCAGCTGATGGTCATTTACATTGTTTGTGCTTTTTGGCTATTATGAATAATTCTGCTATGAACATTCACGTGCAGTTTTTGTGGAGACACAGGCTTTCAATTCTTTTGGGTACATCCTTAGGAGTGGAATTGTCATGTTATACGGTATCTCTACGTTTAACTTTTTGAGGAACTGTCGAACTTTTCCAAAGTGCCTGCATCATTTTACACTCCCACCAGCAATATATGAGGGTTCTGATTTCTCTACATCACCACCAACACTTGTTACTATCTTTTTGATTATAGCCATCCTAGTGGGGGCAAAATACTGTATCACTGTGGTTTTAGTTTGCATTTCCTGGACTAATAACATTAAGCACCTTTTCATGTGCTTATTTGCCATTCATTTTTTTTTTTAATTTTTAAAGATTTTATTTATTTATTTGAGAGAGAGAGAATGAGAGACAGAGAGCATGAGAGGGAGGAGGGTCAGAGGGAGAAGCAGACTCCCCGCCGAGCAGGGAGCCCGATGCGGGACTCGATCCCGGGACTCCAGGATCATGACCTGAGCCGAAGGCAGTCGCTTAACCAACTGAGCCACCCAGGCGCCCTCTGTTCATTTTTTTAAAAGTATTTATTTATTTTGGTGGGGGAAAGAAACGTGGGGGGGCAGCGGGAGAGGCAATTACAAGCAGACTTCTCCCTCAGCCCAACGCAGGGCTCTATCCCAGGACCCCAGATCATGACCTGAGCCGAAACCAAGAGTTGGATGCTTAACCAACTGCACCACCCAGATGCCCGTGTTCACTTTCTTAATAATGCCTTTGAAGCACAAAAGTTTCTAATTGTGATAAAGTCCAATTTGTTTTTCCTTTGGGTGTTTGTGCTTTTGGTGGTAACAAATCTAAGAAACCACTGCCATATTGAAGGTCACAAAAACTTATGTTTTTTTCTAAGAGTTTACTCATCATTTTGTATGTGGATATCCAGTTGGTCCAACACCACTTGTTGAAGTATTTTTCTTTCCTCACTGAATTGTCTCACCACCCATAACAAAAATCAGTTGCTCACAAATGTGAGGGTTTACTTCTGTGTTCTGAATTTTTTCCTTGATCTAGGTCTATCCTTATGCCAGTACTGTCTTGATTACTGAAAGCCTTGTAGTAGGATTTAAAATGCCTTGTAGTAGGATTTCAAATCAGAAGTGGAAGTTCTCCAGCTTTGTTCTGATTCTCAAGTTTTTGTCTGTTTGTTTTTGTTATTCTGGATCCCTTGAATTTCCATATTAATTTTAAGATCAGTTTGTTAATTTCTGCAATGAAGATAGTGGGGATTTTGACAGGGATTACTTTGAATCTGTATATTAACTTGGGGAGTACTATCAACAATATTAAATCTTCTGACCCATGAATATGAGGTAACTTCCCAATTATTAAGATATTTAATTTCTTTCAATAATGTTTTGTATTTCCAGAGTTTTAAGTTTAGTATTTTTGTTAAATTTATTCCCAAATGTTTTATTCTCCTTGATGCTACTGTATATGGAATTGCGGTCTTAATTTCAGTTTTCCAAGTATATAGAAATGCAGTTGATTTTTGTATATTGTTCTTGAATGTAGCCACCTTGATGAACTCATTTGTTAGTTCTAACAGCTTTTTAAAATGGATTCCTTAGAGTTTTCTACATACCAATCATATCACCTGCAAACAGAAACAGTTTTACTTCTTCCTTGCCAGTCTGAATACCTTTTTTGTTTTTCTTGCTCAACCGTTTCAGATAGTACCTCTAGTACAATGTTGAATAGAAGTGAAGAGAGCAGATATCCTTGTCTTCTTCCTGATCTTAGGGAGAAAGCTTTCAGTCTTTCACCACTAAGTATGATGTTAGCTGTGGGTTTTTGTAGATGCCCTTCATTAGGTTGAGGTTCCTTTCTAATCCTAGTTTATTGAGTGTTTTCATCATGACAGGGTGTTGAACTTTTTAAAGTACTTTTTCTGTATCTATTCAGATGATAATGTGGTTTTCACCTTTGGTGGGGTATGCTAATTGATTTCAAATGTTTACATTCCTAGGATAAATCCCATTTGGTCATGGTGTATAATCCCTTTTATATAATGCTGGATTCAGTTTGCTCCTATTTTGTTGAGGATTTTGTGTCTATATTCATAAGGGATATTAATCTGTAGTTTCCTTTTCCAGTGGTATCTTTGGTTTTGATATCAGGGTAATCCTGGCCTCATATAGAATGAGTTGGTATGTGTTCCTTCTTCTTCTTTTTTTGGGGGGGGGGGAGGAATTTGTGAAGAATGGGTATTCTTCAAATGTTTGGTAGAATTTGTCAATGAAGCCATCTGGACCTGGGCAGACTCTACCTCTACCTTATTGCTGTTATTGACAAGTCTGTTGATCTCACAACTTCATGAGACCATGAGCCAGTTATCAGTGTACTGCCATAATGCTCTAAACTCACCCTTACTGCTCTGAGAAAATGAACCTGGGCCTTTAAAAAATGTTTTCTTTGCTATCTAACACAAAGGCTTCTTGAGGGCCTTTGTAGGTATAAGGCCCTCAAGAAGCATTTCAGGAGGAATAGGTTGTGCTTACTGGTTCCAGTGTTCATTCTGGTATACTCCTGCAGCATAGCAGCTTCTCCACCATCTGCTCTGGCTTCTCTTGGTGGCCAGAGGCACCCAGCAGCCAGCAGTTTTCCCTAGCACCCTATCAGGCAGTTTTGTAACAGAGCCTTCCAGGAGACACTCCCCCAGGAATAGCTTTCCCCAGAACCCTAGCATTGCCAGCAAGTTCTGGAGGGTGGATTTCTTTTCAAGATTTATTTATTTTAGAGAGAGAGAGAGAGACAGAGCAAGAGTGCATGCACAGGAGTGGGGGGAGGGGCAGAGGGAGAGAGAGGGGAAAAACAGACTCTCTGCTGAGCGCAGAGCCTGACTTGGGGCTGATCCCAGGACCCCAGGATCATGACTTGAGCCGCATGTTTAACCAACTGAGCCACCCAGGCACCCCTGGAGGGTGGATTTCTAAGCAAGTTCCACTGGCACAGAGTCCCAGTGACTTCTTACTATTTAATGAGCCATGACCATGTCCTCTCCAACAAGGTCTCAATCAGTCCTGGACAGCAAGAGCCTTCCTCAGATGTTCTATCTCACTACTAGGCATAATGGCTGTTCCTTACATCTGCTATTCTTATACTCTTTAAAGCTCTCGTTAGTTTTTACTTGCCATGATTATGTGTGATTAAAAACATTGGTAGCAAGGAGACTCACTTGTAAGTGATAATTGTAAGCATTTACATTTAAATTCTTTACTTGAATAAAGACACTAACAATACTTACATGGACTCATAATATCTGTATATAAATCAGCATGTAGTTCATTTGTAATTTGAAAAGACTTAAAAAATTTTTTTTGTTTTTAAAGATTTTCTCTTTATTTCAGAGAGAGAGAGAGAAAGCACAAGCAGAGGGAGAAGCAGACTGCTTGCTGAGCAAGGAGCCCAATGTGGGACTTGATCCCAGGACACTGGGATCATGACCTGAGCCGAAGGCGGACACTTAACCGACTGAGCCACCCAGGTGTCCCAAGACTAAAAAAATTTAAAAGGTTCACTCAAGTTATCACATTCTTTGAGACACCTATCCTGGCACCTTCCTCCCCACAGAGTGGTAACCATTTTATCCTCTCTACCCGTGGGACTGACACCCTAATCAGGTTGTTACAGCCACCCTAACCCTTGATATTTTCATGTGGAGACAGCAAACTCCCCCAGGGCAGGGGCCATGACTCAGCAGACTCCTCAGCTCACTTCCTGGCTCAGAGCAAATGCCAAATGCCGACTAGTGTTGTTGATTGAAAGGAAAAAACAACCCCCCCACCCACTCCTGTGCCTGGGTGGCTCAGTGGACTGGGTGTCCAACTTTTTTTTTTTTTAAAGATTTTATTTACTTATTTGAGAAAGAATAAGAGAGAGAGGGAGAGCATGAGAGGGGGGAGGGTCAGAGGGAGCAGATTCCCGCCGAGCAGGGAGCCCGATGTGGGACTCGATCCTGGGACTCCAGGATCATGACTTGAGCCGAAGGCAGTTGCTTAACCAACTGAGCCACCCAGGCGCCCCTGGGTGTCCAACTCTTAATCTCAGCTCAGATCTTTTTTTTTTTTTTTAAGATTTTATTTATTTATTTGAGAGAGCGTGCACTAGCGGGAGTGGGGAGAGGCAGAGGGAGAAGCAGACTCCCCGTTGAGCAGGGAGCACTAGGCGGGGTTTGATTCCAGGATCCCGAGTTCACGACCTGAGCCACAACCAAGAGTCCGAGGCTTAACCGACTGAGCCACCCAGGCGCCCTCGGCTCCGGTCTTGATCTCAGGGTCTAGTTCAAGCCAAAGCCCAGCGTAGACCCTACTTAAAAAAAAAAAAAAAAAAAAACCTAAACAAAACGGCCCAATTTCACCAGTCAACAAAGAAAAGCAACCATGAAATGCTACTTTTCCAGCTTCTCAAGTCGTAACGATTTCTAAAGAGGAAGTTTTGGGAAATCGTCTGGAAGGCCCAATCTTTCCGAAGATCAATCTGGTAATTTTGTGGAAGAAAATCCTGAAAGTGGGGAGGTGTACACCACAAGCAGTCGATGGCAGCACCACTCTTACAGCTCCGGCTCCAAGCGGGCCGCCCCCAAACAGGGAATGGGCTTAATCCACCTGGGCCGATCTGCTGGGAAGCCCCGACGCGGGGTTGACAGCCAAGCTTGCTCTCCACCTGGGAAGGCCTGCATTAACTGCATGGGTCCAGCCTCCTCTGCGTTCCCCAGCCCCACAGCCACTTCTGCATCCAGAAACGGCAGCACGCGCCGTTTGGAAACGCAAACTTCATAACCGCGACCCAACCTGACCCCAAGTATGAACCGCAAGTCGGGGAAGTCCGTAGCCGCAGCAAGGAGCGTTAAGGCCTCCACACACTCGCGGGGAGCCGCGGCTCCCCACTCACCCGCACGCTGGCTGACCTCCGCAATCCCCAGGCCCTGCCCGCCACGCCAGCCCTGGCCGTGCGATTTCACTCACCTGCGGCCGCAGGCCACCAAAGCAGCGAAGCACAGACATGGCAGCACACGCCTCACCACAACAGCGGCCTTCCCGCGCGCCTCGCCGTCTGGGCCCGCCCCTGGAGGCGTGTGGGGAGGGCGCCACCCGCGAGGAGCTGAGGCCCGCCCCTTCCGGCCCCAGCTTCCGGTCTTCAGGCGACTGCCCACCTCTGGGCCTTGGGTTTCTTCTGTTGACTTGGGAATGAGCCAACTGCCGCCTCCAAAAGGTGGTGGGCTTTAAAGGCCTCCTTAGCCAGCTTTGGGCTAACTTTTTTCCAAAGACTTCTCTATCAGCATGGGATGCGCGAGGGACAATCCTGGGATCATTTCCCGATCGCTCTCTCTGCTTGGCCCAGACCAGACGCCATTGACCCGCCTTTGGGCATGGCCTTCGGCCAGCCACGATTCAGACAGTCTTGGTCATCGAATACCTACTGGTTGCAGGTCCTCTAGAGCTGGGTTGGAGTGAGGAGGAGGGAAAAAATATCTGCACCATTCCTCCTGCCAGGGTAACCGATCAAGATATGCTCCTACAACAATCTGACTGCAAAACAACAAAAGCTATATTTCAGTTTTCCTCTTAATACTCTCTTACTCAGTTGGCTCGCCAGCATTTTGCCAAATTTGGAAGGTAAGTTAAAGATGATCTGTCTTAAACATCCCCCAAATCTAAAAATTCATGTTGGAAGCCAATGCCTCAAAGAGATAGGCAAAGCCAAGCCCTCCCAGTCCCCCAAAGCACTCAACCCTGCTGGGGAATCTGACCAAGAGCTAACTGGAGATGCTAGTGTACAGAGGAAACAGTGATTTCAAGTAAGAGCAATCCTGATGTGCTATGGATTTGAAATTCAGCTGCTTCTCACCTGGGCAAATAGTGTGCTTCAGGGAATGTAGCTGCAAGGATTTAGTTGCAGTTACTGATTTCCCCCAGGCCATGTAGGGGTAGCTCAATTATATGGAAATGCTCACGTGTATGTGTATATTTTCAGGGGAAAAGTCTGGGGAGAAATACACACCAAAGTGTTAATATGCACTCATTCATCAGGTACTACCTATTTAGGTCCTAGACCCTGGGTTACAAAGTGAGAACTAGCTCACAGCCTTGCAAGAGACAAATGGGGGGCAAGACTAATACCTTTGGTTTATTTTCTTTGTATTCTTCTCTTTGTTTTCCACAATGTGAATAGATATCTTCTCTAGCAACCACCAAAAAAGGTTTTATTTTGAAAAAGGAAAATACTTTTCCTACTGAGGGCGGAGTCGGAAGGAAAGGATCAATCCCAAAGTCCCTCGCTCAGTCCCCAAGGTTCCCACGGAACCATACATGGGAGCGTCTTAGTATCCTGTGGTGCAACCCGAAACAGCGGAAGTAAGGGATCTGCCATCGATTTAAGCCGTGTTCCTCGTACTGTTCTGCAGAAAGACCGCAGGATGGGTGACGGGCGAGAGTTATAATTACAGCCACCTTGGCAGGACCCCAGCGCACAGGGAACAGGTTTCATAGACATAGGTTCAATTCCAATAGATCGCTACTACCGGAAACGGAAAGCCTTGGGCAGGCTGGCGATTGGACGCGGAGCCGGAAGCGGAAGCTGAAAATTGCGTTTGGTGGCTCCCGATATGGCTGAGGCGGTGGGTGTTGTGGCCGAATCCCTTGCGGGAGACAGGGCACGGGCGGCGCGCACTGTGCTAGATCAGGTGGTGCTCCCGGGTGAGGAACTGCTGCTGCCCGAGCAGGAGGACGCTGAAGGCCCAGGAGGTGCTGGGGAGCGACCGCTGCGCCTGAATGCGGGGACGCGCTCCCGGGGGCGCGTTGTGTGCGGCCCGGGCTTGCGGCGCTATGGCGACCGCCTGCTGGTCACCAAGTGCGGCCGCCTACGTCACAAGGAGCCCGGCGGCGGCAGCGGCGGTGGCGTGTACTGGGTGGATTCACAGCAAAAACGGGTGAGCTGGGACTCCGGAGAGGTGGTACTTCCCTCGCTCTGGGAAGAAGCAGGGGTGGAGCCCTGGACCTCTTCTCTGTTAACGCTACTCTAGAGCCACCGTAGTCATGTGCCCACCTCTGCATCCCCTTTAGAACATTGTGAACAAATGAAACGTGGCCTGAGAAGGGCGACCAGGAGAGAAAGGTGACTGGAAATCTTGGCGTCTAAGAATTTAAGGATTTTAAGACATGGTCATTCCTTCAAAATCTCAATGGCCAGGGAGCACCAGCCCTGTCTTTTGGAGTCCCAAAGGGCAGAAATCCAGACTCAATGAGTGGATGTTCCAGGGAGTTAAATTTCTCTTAGAATAAGTAAGGACTTTAATATGGGAAAAACTGTCTAACGGTGAAATAGCCTTCCTTGGTTATAAGATCCCCTATACCACTGGACTTAATATGCCAGTAGAAGCTCTAGGGACTTCCTGATAAGGATACAAGACATATGGGATACTGGCTGAAATGAACAGAGTATTAGAAGCTGTAAAGAGAGTTTATGATGTGATTGTTTTTCTTTTACTGAGAGTAACATGATCAATTTGTTGTTGATTTGTATTAATTTGTAAACTTGAATTTTAAAATATTTTCTAAATAACTCTAATGACAGTAAAGTGACCAATAAAGACTTGAAGATATCTTCCAAGATACCTTGGAAATGATTTTCATTTATGGCTGCTCCTTCATTCTGTTTTCTTTTGTAGTATGTCCCAGTGAAAGGAGACCATGTGATCGGCATAGTGACAGCTAAATCTGGAGATATATTCAAAGTTGATGTTGGAGGGAGTGAGCCAGCATCTTTGTCTTACTTGGCATTTGAAGGTGCAACTAAAAGAAACAGACCAAATGTGCAGGTAATGATGGGAGCCTTTGGTTTCAAAAATAAGAAAAGTATGGGGCACCTGGGTGGTTCAGTCATTAAGCGTCTGCCTTTGGCTCAGGTCATGATCCTGGGGTCCTGGGATCGAGCCCTGCATGGGGCTCCCTGCTCGGCGGGAAGCCTGCTTCTCCCTCTCCCACTGCCCCTGCCTGTGTTCCCTCTCTCTCTGTCAAATAAATAAATAAAATCTTTAAAAAAAAATAAGTATAAAAATATCCAGAAACACTGAAATCTCCAGAAGCCTACCTGAATTGTCTCCTAAGCGTGGCCTATTTTCCCAGTTCTGCAGGGTGATCTCTGAGCATCTGTGTAATCGCTTCAGGCTCCACGAGTTCCTTCCAGTGCTCCAGCTCTGGGACCAGAGTCAAATACTTACTTTACATTTGCCGTATTGGGGTGGTTTCATCTCTACTGAGTTGAAAGGTTATATCTGTTGTTATCTGTTATGTCTATATCCACTGGACAAGGAAGTAAGCCATAGGCTTGGGGAGGTAGGAGGGGTACGTAATACAAATTGCCTTATCAGCCAGCCATGCAGCCTGATTGTTAAGTCCTGGGACTGGCATCTCACAACTTCAGTCATGTCACTTTTCCCAACAATCTCTTCTTGGAGCTGACAGAGGAGCATTCTTGTTACCTCAAGTTTTCGATTTGGGCTTTTCAGGTAGCATAGCCACACTTTGTCCACCTAGAAATTTGGTGGTTTCTTTGCCCCTTCTCACTAACATTTCATTTGTGTTTAGTTGCTTAATCTTTACTGATCCTATTTGTTTTTATCTTTGATGTTCTGCTTCTTCATCCATGTATAGCTCCATTTTGCAAGTTCAGACCTTAGCTACTTTTTTTTTTTTTTTAAGATTTTATTTATTTGAGAGAGAGAGAGAGAGCACGAGCAGGGGGAGCAGCAGAGGGAGAGGGAGAAGCAGACTTCCTGCTGAGCAGGAAGCCCACTGCAGGGCTCCATCCTAGGACCCTGAAATCATGACCTGAGCCGAAGGCAGCTGCTTAACCGACTGAGCCACCCAGGCACCCCCAGACCTTAGCTACTTTTTGACCAGACCTGATCAGTGACCTCCTCATTAACATCCCTGCCTGTACACTTTTGTTCTTCCATCTGGGCTTTTTGAGAGCTGACAGCCTCACACACTTCCCTTTCTCAAAAAAAACCAAAACAAAACAAAAAAGGTTTCTTTAAAGCCTACAGATTTCATTGGCATTATCTCCAAAAGTTTTCCCTCATCTATATCTTCTATGTAGCCATGCTTGAACTCCCCTCACCCCGAACTATTTAATAGCACCACTGAATTCATAAGTCCCTGTCCCCTCTAGCTGGATTGCTCTATCTCCTTAGCCTGTGGAACACACGCTTATTTTTTGAGACCGAGGCTAAACACCACCACCTCTGTAAAACCATCCCTTATCTACAGGCACCTTTGTTACAACTTTAGCACCTACAAGGTCTTAAATGAACTTTGTTATTTATATGTACATCCCCACTGCCCTCCAAGACCACATGCTTCTGAAATGTAAAGAAGTCTTTTGTTTCTCTTTAGTTGCTAGTCATGGAGGAATAGCAGATACACAACAGAACAAGTTCTCTCCTCTGTTCCCTTTGTTTCATCATTTTGAAGTTCAACTCTGAGGTTTTTGGTTTTTTTTTTAAAGATTTATTTATTTGAGAGAGAGAGAGTGGGGGGAGAGAAAATCTCAAGCAAACCCCACACTGAGGGCAGAGTCCAATGTGGGGCTTGATCGCACAACCCTGAGATTATAACTTGAACCAAAATCAAGAGTTGAATGTTTAACTGATTGAGCAACTGGCACCCCATATGAGGTTTTTAAGTAAGTCTTGCATGAAGTATCAGTGAATTACCATTGTTCATTTTGCTTTGGATAATTTGCATGCCAAGGGTTTCCAGTCTTCTGTAATTCCCTAGGATAGTGCTGTCTACTAAAACTTGCTGTGATGATGCTAGTGTTTTACATCCACACTGACTAGTATGGTAGCCACTAGCCACATGTAGCTGTTGAGCACTTGAAATGTGGCTAATGTAATTGAGGAACTGATTTTTAAATATCTAACTTTAATTAATTTAAATGTAAGTTTAAATAACTACATGTGGGTAGTGGTTACTATATCGGATGGTGTAACCCTAGAGGATGTTGTCTTGAGATAGCTCCCAGTCTGAGGAGGGTACACATCTTAATGTTGCCCCCTCTTTTTTTTTTTTTTTAAAGATTTTATTTGTCAGAGAGAGAGGGAGCACGAGCAAGCACAAGCAGGAAGAGCGACAGGTAGAGGGAGAAGCAGGCGCCCTGCTGAGCAAGGAGCCCAGTGTGGGACTCAGTCCCAGGACCCTGTGATCATGACCTGAGCCAAAGGCAGATGCTTAACCTACTGAACCACCCAGGCATCCCTTTAACGTTGCCTTTTTAAAGACTCAACTCCAGAGTGACTATGCGTATTCTGGATATTTGGTCCATTAGCCACAGAAGTATAGATGGCTGGCATTGCTGCCTGTGAGAAAGAACCATAGCAGCACCTATAGAATGATTTGCTGGGGGGCACCTGGGTGGCTCAGTCAGTTAAGTGGCTGCCTTCAGCTCAGGTGGGCTCCCTGCTCAGTTGGGAGTCTGCTTCTCCCTCTCCCTCTGCCTCTCCCCTCTGCTCATGCACTCTGTCTCTCTCAAATAAATAAAATCTTTTTTTAATAAAGATTTTATTTATTTATTTGACAGAGACACAGTGAGAGAGGGAACACAAGCAGGGGGAGTGGGAGGAGAAATAGGCTCCCCACCGAGCAGGGAGCCCGATGCGGGGCTCGATCCCAGGACCCTGAGATCAGCGCCTGAGCTGAAGGCAGTCGCTTAACGACTGCGCCACCCAGGCACCCCAAATAAATAAAATCTTAAGAAAAAGGGGGGAGGATGATTTGCTGAGAGGAAATGAACTGTTTTTAAATTATCATTTTAGGTTGGAGATCTCATCTATGGCCAATTTGTGGTTGCTAATAAAGATATGGAACCAGAGATGGTCTGTATTGACAGCTGTGGACGAGCCAGTGGAATGGGTGTGATTGGACAGGATGGTCTTCTTTTTAAAGTGACTTTGGGCTTAATTAGAAAGTAAGTCCTGATGCCTTCTGGCTCGCCTGTCTTCTTTTATAATTATACTTTCTTGGAAAGCTGACTCATCTTTAGGGTTTGGATTCTTTGTAACAATATTTGAATGTCCTCAAAGTTAAAAATCAGTATCCATTTTTAGCACGGTTATAAACTCATGCATTTAGTCCCATTCTCTCTTCACACACACTTCTTCATGTGAATACATTAAATTCATATGTATCTGGTGGTGGAGTTTTGTGTTGGTATGTATGGAGTCTGGGCTTCTCTCCCAGAAAGTCCGCTGTTCCTTACAGCTGATATACTCAATCCAAATATGAAAACTGGCATTTCCTCCTCCTAAGTCATTTGAATACAGATGCAATTTACAATTGTACAAAATGACCAGATTTTTCTAGTAATGGGGGTAAAATGCAAGTAGGCCGGTGTGCTCTAAAAGCTTATGTATACATTCACATAAGGCTCCTGCTATTCTGTCCTGGTAGATTTAATAATTCCCAGAGGTAGGTTCTGTTAGGTGTTTAGACCTTTACCTACCCAAAGCTGTGCCCTATTAGAGAACTTTACTCCTAGAGCCCCAGAGCCTTAGAGCTCAGTGTTGCATGCCTCTCTTTGTTACTTATTCTGCAGATTTGGACAATTCCTTCAAGACAGAGAAGCATGTTATTAACCAAGCAGCACCCTGTGGTTTGAAAGTCAATGCTTCTCTCCAAGTACTGAATTTAATACCAGGGAATAACTTAACAGGAAAATAAGCTTAAACTGTTCTTTTAGCACCGTAGATAATAAAAAAGCTAGGATTCTAAAGCCTAGAAAAAAGGTGCTGACAGTATAGGGGAAGAACTTTATACATTTTTGTAAAGTTGGTGACACAGGGAGTTTGATTTCTTTGTAGAGGATATAACCCACTGTTGTGACCTGTGGTATACAGCTAACTGTGCTTGGATGAAAGGGGGCAGCAAATGTCATGTGCCTTGTTCTTGGATGATGTTGGTGGGTTTTTGAATAACTGTGGAGAACTGTCCAGAAACTAGGAATCTTCTTTTAAAGGAGAGTCAGGTCATACCCTACCACTTCATTAAATTTAGTTTTCTTTCCATCTCCTCACCAGGCTCCTGGCTCCAGACTGTGAAATCCTACAGGAATTGGGAAAACTCTACCCACTAGAGATAGTATTTGGAATGAATGGAAGAATATGGGTTAAGGCAAAAACCATTCAGCAGACCTTAATTTTAGCAAACATTTTAGAAGCTTGTGAACACATGACAGCAAATCAAAGAAAACAGATCTTCTCCAGATTGGCAGAGAGTTAGATGGAATTTTTTATGGGTCAGTTGACCCAAGAGACCATGGGTTTCCTGGGGAAAAATTTTTCAGGGGAACCTCTCCCCATTAAACATTCAGAAGACAAAATGTGAATATACATATTGTCTTAATTAAAGTCCTAAATAAAATATTTTTATAAAAATGTTACTAGTTGCCACCCATGTTCTTGTGGGTGAGAAAAATCATTATAAAATAATGATGTATTTTTTTCTTTACAATAAAGTTTACTAAAAGTATTATGGTTTATTTGGTGTTAACTCCTTTAGTTTTGCTAAAGTGCAGCTTTTATAATAAACTGGAAGTAAACATTAAAATAATTATTTTCTGTTAATAGTAAAACATGTTCACCAAAGAAAATGTAGAATACATAAAGAAGCAAATACACTATAGACATAGTGTATGTGAGTATTTTTCAAATTGGAATTAGAGGATTCTACTTTATATACTACTTTGTAATGTACTCTGTCCACTTCAAACAACATTTAATATATTTCTTCTATGATTGCTGTTAAAAAATGCAATAGTTGTCTGTCCAGTTTTTTGTTCTATAAATAACACTGATGAAATTCTTGAAGCCAAGTCCAAAACTCATATCTAGGTTTTTGAAAAAATGGTAGAGGTGATAGAGTTGGAGAGGAAATTCTCCCATGCTGTTTGGGGTTTTAAGAAAAGCCTTTAGAAGTGAAAATAAAGCCTGGCAAATGATCCAGGTCAGTGTTCTGGGAGGCAGAGACCTCCCTGGGAGTATGAGTTACCCCTGAAGCCTAGCCATAGGAGATCCCTTCTTGGATGACAGAGATTATAGAACTCATTCAATATGGTGATAAAGACCAAGGAGCAGTATATATTCCTAAAGATATTTCCTGAAGACTGGGCTGTTTTTAATAAAAAGATACTGACATAATTTGTAAGGTGATCATAGCTCCTGAAGGATTAAATTCTGAAGGGGAGGGGACAGAGCAGAAAACATTTTGGTTCTTTTGAGATCTAGAATACATTCTCTGAATTTGCTAACAGCTTAGCTTTCAAGTTTACTAACCCAAACTGGTTAGTAAACTGAAGTTTTTAGAGTAACTGAAGCAACTGTATGTAACTAAAATATGAGAAAAGGGATCACTCAGATTTGTGTAATGAGAGGTTATCCAACATGCTTGTGTCAGAGGCAATGTATTTTCTGGTTATTTTTAAGTTAGAGTTAATACTGTGTTTTTGCTTTTCAATTTGACCTGTTAGTTACAAATATATATGAAGAATGAGTTTGTACAAGGCTCAGAAGGATACAAAGATCCTCGTACAAGGCTCAGAAGGATACAAAGATCCTCCCACAAAGTGTCCTGTTAGGAGGCTACCATAAGGAAGAGAGAAACCCTCCACTCCCATACTCAGAGCAGGAGAGACGGGGTGGGAGCCACAAGTTGGAGCCACAGTGGGAACAAGTGCTACGGGGGCTTAGAGTAGGGCTAGGTTAGGACAGGCTGATCCTGCAAAACATGTAAAGTGTATTACTGAGTTGGGGAAAATCAGCACGATCAGAGGAGGCTGGAGAGAGTGCTACAACTTTGTGATGCCAGTTGAGTGAAAATTAAACTCTTGATATAACAATAATTATTTAATCGTTAAGCTATCTCTAAAGAGTAGGTATTTCACAAATAGGTATATAAAAGATGAATTAATACATCCAAAGCCATGTAGCTGAGGGCTAATTCCTTGTTATGTAAACTTTTTAGTCAACATATATCTGGGCTCTTCCTGTGAGCTAGGCACTATGGGAGATAGAAAAGAGCATAACATGTGGTCCCTGTTACTAGTAACTTACATCCTAGTGAAGATCCAAGATGTCAAGTACAGGCAAGTGTGTGCTATCGCCAGCCTCTGTTCTGCTCTGCAGTCAAGACACCTCCAGCAACTTTGCCTTCTGCAGCTCCTTAGGCTGTCCATTATCCACTGAGTTCTGAAGAATGTAGCCTTTTCTGGAAGAAACTCCTTTCTTCATTGCTTCAGGCCAGTTTTGAGTCTCAAAGTATGTGGACAGGATATCAAATACTGTTTGAAGGGTAAAAAAACACAGTGACCACAATGAGGAAAAAGAACTAGTAAAGGACTGATGAGGAAAAGGGTGTTCTGGAATAGTTCATTCAACAAGGCTACTCTGCACCACACACGGACCCGCTTGCCCACAAGGACCTCAGCCTACACAGAGAGATACGAACCTGTGAAGGGACAGTGCCACAACACCAAGAGGAAAACAGTACAATGGAGTCACCAAGGAGAGCCCCTAACATGGCTGAGAGGGGGAGGGAACAGCCGAGATGCCCCCGGACTGAACTGTGAAGGACAGATAGGAATTCACTGTTCAATGATGTGTTGAACACAGGGCATTTTAGGCCAAGGGAAAAATTTCAACGATCTTTAACATAGTTGGGATCTAAGAAGAAAATGAAAAATGCCTCTCAGAGGCCAGAGTACCTGTCACAAAGTGCACGCAGTAAAATCTGAGCACATCAGTCTCGGTGGGGGGGTGGGGGGCTGCTTCAAAGGGCCGTTTATACTTAAACACAATGCAAAGAAGTAGCACCAGAACTAACACATGGTAAGTGTGGGCCCTGTCAGCAGTACCTTGATTGATGGCCAGTATCTCTGAATGATAGTTCTTCTCATTCTGGCATCTGACCATGTATTCCTGGATCGGCAAGCGGGCTGTGTTGACAGAATGTTCTTGGGCTTTTTGAAATGTCACCTTCTGTGAATCACAGTTAAATATTTTTCTTTTAAAACTGACAAAGATACTCTCATTGTAATATGCATAACAAATTGTGAGAAACCCCATTTACCACCACTCCAATTTCCATCTGTAATTGTAATTAAATGATAAGTGTATTAAAAATCAGTGGCCTACGGTAGAACGGAAGAAACTTCAGATAATGAAGAGTACTTGTTCCACGTAAGAAATGGCTTGTGCAGCAAACATCTCACCTGGGAGTCATCTAGCCACTAGTTTCCATTTACAACCACTTACAACCAAGAACGAAGTAAGTCAAGACATCTGCAGCCACAATCTGCATCCAAAAGTTCAAGCAGTCTAATCAATCAGAGGAGAACACTCCTGACCCTAACTCAGTAAGACACAATTCTGGATATCTGGAGTTTTCAGCTTCTAGCCATTCAGCAGCAGCAAATTAAAGATAAGAGAGAGAGGATTCAAGTCAGATACACCACAAGCAACAAGACAACATTAAGGTGTGAGAGCACAGAGCCCAACTAAAAGGAAGGGCTCTGAAGACTGCAGAAAGGAGTCATAAGAACTCAACAAACCCCTGAGGCCATTGAGGATCGGAGTACAGTAACTAATATCCCTTTAAAGATGTCCCTGAGTCATGAACTGAAGGTTAAATTATATTTGCTACCTTGTAAGAAGCTCTGGAAAGATCACCTACCTACTTAGAATTTCAGGATTAAAGAGAAAGGTTTAGATTATTGGGATAATTAACATCCTTGGGTTTGGAAGGGGCCTCAATAGTTAACTATCCCATTCCAAACATCCATCCAATCTTGTCTATCCTCTATGGCCTCCTTCCCAAGTGGGCTCTGTCCTTAAGTGGACAATCCTTGTGACAAGGAGTTCCATGCATCCTGGGGAAACCTATTCCAATGTTGACAGTACGAGTTAAAAGGAAATTCTTGATAGCCAAATTTTCTGTTTTCCCTGAGCGTTCCACTCCTTTGTCCTAGTTCCATCCCCCCGGGGCCACACCAAGCAAGTAAAATGGCTCTTCCTCAAGAAGGCCGTTCAGGTAGGTACTCGACAGCAGTGATCATGCCCCGTGCACCCTGCCGGTAGTCTCAGTTCTGTCGCCTCTCTCTTGACTACAACTTAGTCTTGAGTCTCTTCGTCATTCAGGCCAAAGGTTTCTGAATTTGTTCGAGCTTGCTGATGTCCTTTCCTACAGCGCTATAACTGACTGGCCACCCTGAGTGCGGTGTAACCAACTGGAGCAGCATGAAGCAGGCCTAGCACCTCTGTTCTAATACTGGATTACCTGCTTCTCAAACTCACATGAGACACAATTCCAAGAGAGAACTTCCAAAATGTGTTAAGTGATGCAATTCAGAGAAGATAAAGGTACAGCTGCTCAAAAGACTTCTTTGAAGGATAACACTCCTTTGCATACAAGGTCTATTATTTTTTGGTCTACGTTTTTTTTTTTTTTAAGTCTATTCTTTTACAATCATTTTGACCTGGAGTACAAGAATTCCAAGTTAGCAAGAGACTTGGATGTTGCCCTGGAGGAGCTCACAGTCTAGTTTCTGTTCTCTGAACATTTAAAGATAAAACGATTCCCCTTGAAATGTGCTCAGCATATTTTCTGTGAGGCAGGCAAACTCTCCAGTAACAACCAAAAAGTTCTATACTTCTGGCAAATCATTATGCCAATTATTTTTCAATTTAAATACTGCTGGAGAGATAAAACAATGTGTTAAAACTGTATATCTGTTGATCATACACTGCTCACTGACCCTTTAGACTTTGCCTCAAAAAAGGGGCTGTCACTCTGCTGTGGGAGACTGCATTTGGCTATTGTTATGTCTTTTTAATATCTTTTAAACTGTAACAGCCCCCCTAACTATTTCTTTCACTACGCCAGCTTTTTTGGAAGTGTGGTCCAATTGTCTTGCAGAATGTCCCACATTCAGTTTCCTCATGATTAAATGTAGTTTAAACATCTTCCAGTAAGAATACTTCCCAAGTGAGATTCCATCACATCGGGACGCACATAATGTCACTACTGGTGATTCTAAGTTTGAACATTTGGTAAGATGATGACCTCCAGATCACTTCACCGTAATGGTGTATTTTTGCCTTTGTAATCTGTGGGATGATACTTTGAGACCACGTAAAGAGCCAGTTCCCCCACAACCTTCCGTTCAACCAATTCCCTGAAACCATGATTACCCTGGGAGTGACAAAATAATGATTTTTCAAATTCTGTTATGTATTTCTCATTTAATAGCTGGCATTCTTAGAATTACACCTCCACCCCCCACCTATTTTTTAGATTATCACTATTGAGTCATGGAACACTGACCTTTTTAGAATACGTGCAATTCAGTTAAGTATCATCTGTATTAAATATGTGTATATATCTCATACAGATATGAAAAAATATATAAAATACACATACATATATGAAAATATATATACATAATATACCCACAAACAAATACTTGTGTGATCACA